TTCTTGATTATAAATATATATATTTATATATTACGTGAATGTATGCATGTACGTCTTAGTTATATAATCTTTTTCTACTGAGTTTGTGAAGCTCACCCTAATTCACCCCCTATCAGGTCAGAGGAGATGAAAAACAAGTCCAATATCAATAAAAGATGGAGAATGAAACTTTATTTGTAACAATCCGGCCCAAGAGAAACAAACCAAACCCACATGCTTCTTAGAAGCAGGAAAAGTCAAAACGACACTATTTTGATATGAAAGAAAAATAGTAGCAAGTGAAACAACGTCGTTTTGAGAGCATCAAAACGACTCCATTTTGGTGACAGCAAAAGAAAAAAAAATTAGGGCGATCAGAGGCGTACTGGTCACCGAAGAAGAAGAGGAAGAAAAGGCGTATACGCCTCTTCCCTCCACCAAAGAAAGAGGAGGAAGGCTCGTATGGGGCTCTCCTCTCTCTGACTATAAAAATAGAGAGAGAGCGAGCCATGTAGAGAGAGAAAGTAAATCGGAGAAAAAGATTGGCGTACAGCGGAAAGGGTTGTCCGGTGCGCGAAACTATATGTCGAATCTGAGAGACCGGTCTATTTGCACGGAAAATAAAAAGCTAGAAAGGGAATAACGCAGCTGCGTGTAGTGGGAGAAAGAGACCCGTGTGGCGCCTAGGTGCAACTTCGCGATCTGTGGTGCGTTCCCGACCCGATTCCATAATATCCGTGCCAAATTTAGATGCGTGGTGGTTCCGTGGCAATCTCCGACCGATATGCAACAGTTTATGACTGGTTTTGGTAACACGTGCCGGTTCCAGTGGCTGCGCATGAGGCAGCGGGTGGCACTCCGGTGGCGACACGTAGTGAACCAGGAGCACACGGGTGGTGGTGCGTGGGGACTCCGACTAGTGAGATCGCGTGTCTAAGATAAAACTAGTTTTTTGTTGGGTTCAATTCTAAAAATTTCTTATCGTTTAATACGCATGCTATGTAATTGTGAACAAAAAAATTAATCAAATGGCAGTGAAGATTTAAAGGAGGCTGTAGACTCAAACCAATAAAGATTTGGATACTTTTCGATTCGACTATAAGTAAGAGATTGGGTTAGTCTCATTCAGAGGCCCCCATATTTTTATAAAACCTTATTTTTCATTGAAATGACTTGTTTACAGAATTTACAAACTATTCACATTTTTTACCATGAATTCTGAGATCTCATCATATTGCGTGTGTGCAATTGCATATAATTAAAAACCTATATAATGTCGTGTATGACATATAATTATGTATTCATATTGTTACTTGTATGTATATGCAGATCTTATGAATACTAGTTATCGAATTATGAGTGTGTGACGCATATATATACATATATATGATTGTAGGTTGTGCAACGTGTGTATGTATGAGTGAACAACTTCTATGTGTCTACATATAGAATACATATATGCCTTGTATAAATATACAAGTATATTCATGTTGTATGTATTGTATGTTTATATATACTTAATTGAGTCGATAACTGTTGATATAAAGTGTATATATTGTTCTTATTGTGTAGACTTATTGATGTAAATATATATATATATATATGATATATAAATAGGTGCATGTCTGGATAGGTAATCTAGTGGAAACCTGATTAGTAAAAGAATAACATAAAAATCTTTAAAATATGAAAAAATCCGTTTAACTGGTATCACCCCGAGGGGTGGGTGTGTGTGTAGCCTTTTAGCGTGTGATTGTGGTGACACTACCCGTAGATACAATTTTAGTTAGATGTGGCGAAACAATAATAACTATGAACTGTATATTGTGTACTGCAAACTGTAAACTGTGAACTGAACTGTAACGTATTCACGTAGTAGAGGGGATCTTTACTACCCTCATTGATGCCGATAAAAACGGCATCACGCGGTAAAATTATTTTTAATAAGACATAAACTGATAGGAAGGAATAGAAAGTCATGAGTGAAGTTTACGATACTGAAATATCGAACTAATATCTCCTGAATATCTTACTGCTTAAATTGTGATATAGAATACTGAATGATGTTATTTATGGAATTGTTTATGTACTAAGGTATAATACTGAAATAAGGAATTCTAAATGTTTACTGAAGAAGCTGATTTAGAAGATTTGGTGATTGAGTGTGTGCATGTCTTTGTTGTGAGCATTGCCCATTTCCTTACTGAGTCTGTGAAGCTCACCCCAATTCACACCCTCCCAATGCAGATTAGTTCAGATCAAAAGTAAATTTAAGGTTAAATGAAGAGTTTGAAGAACCTTTAGTAACAGTAAGAGTTCGACTTGTAAAGTTAGTTTAATTATATTATAGCGATGTAATATAAAGAATTTTGGAAGTCTCATGACTTATAATTCTGTATAGGAGATGATTGAATTATAAGTTTTTGCTCATTGCTGCGTAAATTTATTAAGTCAGAAGAGATGAGAAACAAGTTCAAAATCGATAGAAGATGAAGAAGAAAATTTTATTTGTTTCTATTTTAGATTTATAAATTAATTCAAATGTCTCAATTATTGTAAATAAATAATTATTTTGTCAAAAGTATTAAAGTGTAGTTCCGCTGCATATTTAATATTTATCTGTTTTATTAGTTAGAAATGTTGTGTTAACGTCCGTATCTACTGACATTGGGGTTCGGGCCGTTACAAAGATACTGTGTAAGATAGGTGAAATGTGCGAGAGAAGTTAGAGAAAGGGTGAAAAAACCATGAAACTCGTGGCAACAAATAACTTCCATTAGGGCTAATGGGCTATGCAACGCAAGATGCAATATGCTGAGTCCTTTAGGTAAAAGTTCTTTCCTCCTTCAATGTAGTGATAATTTGAGTTAGTAGAAAAAGAGTTGTTTTTTGATCTATAATATTCACAATGACAAACCTCAGAGACCAACTTGTGGCACCGGTCATCGGTTGGAAGATGGTAGCAACTCCTTCATTGCCAACTTGTCACACTTCTAATTGGTCCAAGAATGGTGGAAACTCTGTATTGACGAATTAATTAGTTGACTTGTTCCTATTGGTTATTTTTGCCCACATTCACTATAAATTAGAACCTTTAAGGAATGCTAACTAAGGATGACGATGACGACGTTGATATTGTTTTGAAAAGATTTGAATCATATTTCTTACTTAAATTTGTTTTCTCCATTCTTTTCTACTCTTATTTCTTCCTTTCACCCTCTTTTCACTCTTCTTAAATCTCCTTAAGTCCTTTCCCTAACATTCCTCTCTTCATACCCTTGCACTTCACTAACTAGTATCATCAAAACAATAATAACTAGTCATTTTGTGATTGTATTAAGTTGTTCTACATCAATTTGAATCTTCAGAATGCCAATTTATAGCTTCAGAATGTGAAACCCTTGTATATCTATTGACATAATTAGAAGGTATAATAAACCACATTCTCCAATGAGCTTAATTTGATGGATCCAGCAAATCGGTCAAGACTTTGCTCAACCAAAGAACATAGTTACAGCATACTGTATAATTGTAATGTAAGGCCAGAGTTTTGTAGAACAAGCTAAATTTGAACAAATACCTTTGCAATCACTTCAGCAGATTCCTTGAAGTTGGTACATTTAGAGATATTGGTTTTTGACAGAAGCTCGTCAACCAATCCGACTCCAATGTTATAACCCCTGAAACAAAATCAGTCTTGTTCATTCTAACTGATGATTATGAAAACTTAAAATCTGAAATTCGGAAAGAAAAGAAAAACTAACTGGATCAATAATAGATATGTATCAAATAGAGTGGGACGGACACCTCTCTACTTTAAATGTTGATCAACAAAAGAAAATAAAAACTAGAGAGAAACTGCAAAAGTAAATTAAAGCCAACACATTTTTATCATTTGAACAATATTAACGAGAGAAAACAACGCAAAAAGAATATCACTGTCTTGTTAAGAGATTTAACATGGCATTCTTTCAGAAAAGGAGATTAAAAATGGCAAACGTGCCTTCTCAGAACATGAAAATTCAATAATTATCTAGGGTTAATATAGGGCGTTGCTCCACAAGCAAAATATATCTGCATTGACTGGACCCGAGTGAAGCCATCATTATAGGGTCAGATTAACTGAGTTTTGCAAATGTGTATTCATTTTCTGTGAGTATTGACAAATTTTGTCATCAAGCCAGAGACAAATTTTAACAGATTAAAGAAAAGTAGTTAGCACCAACTGGATCCATCATAAACATTCCGTTGAATTTTTCTTCCCTTTTCTTTTTTATTGGCAGGTTTCTCAATGGAATAATTTTTTTTAAAATCAAAAACCAAAATCTAGAATTGAAGAAGCCTCTCTCTGAATCACATAATGAACTAAACATTCTCAAGTTAAATATTCCCCCCCAAAAAGAAAACCTTCTTAAACCATCTAGGCAATCACCTTCAATCCACTTTAGATATGGATTTCCACTATAAAAATATGTAGGCATAATGAAAAGAGAGAAGAATACATTTGATCAAGCTGCTTGTTTACTTCCTCGACGTCTTCAATGTCAGTGAGCAACTGCCTAACCATTGCGCCATAAGTGAGACTGAAAAGTTACTGCATTCTGCAAACAAATGGCATACATCATCAATCTCGATGAAAAGCATCCTGGATTCCTTATCTTTTCCTGTGGAGAGAAAAAGCATTTGAACGCAAAATTTCTGAAAATAATAGTTAACAGAGGATTCACCACATGCTCACTGCTAGCGTATATTGCCTCTCCAGATCTTCCAGTGACAGCCGCCATTGCTATGGACGTCTAACAAATAAGGAACAAGCATTAATTATTCTCTCTCTTTTTTTCCCATTTCTTGTGTTGTTTGGAGAATTGTAACGGAACGGTAATCAAAGAGGGATACGTGGCGGAAGATGACGCGGTCTTGATTCCATATTCGGATCCATTCTGAACTGTTCCGTTTGTTTTTTTTTTTTTTTTTCCCCTCCTTTGCTGCTTTCTTTTTAAAATTTTTTACTTGGTAAAAAAAAAATTTACCGTCTGCTATTTATCTCTTGCTTTTTATTTTGTCTTTAACATGGGCAAGATCTTAGTTTAGTCTATCTACATACTAATAGCAAGTTAGTAATCCTATTTATTTGAAAATATTTTTTCTTGTTAGCTTTACTGAGTTAAAAACATTATTAACTGAAAATAGTAAATTTTACTTTTTACCAATAGAAATAGTTCTTAAAATAAAATATTGACATTCAAAATGCACAGTTCATAATTTAAACTCATGCTTCTAAAAGATGTAGTGAAAGTAGTAAATATATTACTGACAAAAAATTGATAATTTTTCTACTTGAACATTAAATATTTTTTTATTTTATTTAAACTCTTATATATTTAATATTTTTTTATTTTATTTAAACTCTTATATATTTAATATTTTTTTAAATAAACACTTAAAATTAATATATGTTAAGTAACTATTAGTCAGTACTATATATAAAGGCTACTTGATATTAATTATTGATGACTTGAAAATTTATTTCATATCATCCTCCAATTTGCCTACTTATAGAAGATAAATATATCATTCACCCTACATACACTTGAATCCTTACCTGCATTAGAAACACTCGTTTTCTAGAAAAATTTAAGGTGTGAGAGATTGTGAGTAACGGGGTTGAGAAAAGAGGAATGTTTGTCAATGAGTGAGAGATGTTTGCTGAGGAGAGAGAGCTCGAGGGGAGAGAAAGCATGAATAGAAAGGGAATGAACCTACAAAGTAATTAGGAGCTGAGGAGAAAGACACTTGAAGAGAGATGCACCCTGAAGTTAAGAAAAGCTCGAGGACTGATTTTTGAAAGGCACACCACAGAAAGATGAAGCTCGAGGAAAGCAACACTAAAAAGCTGAAGGCTGACTTGTTAGAGGCACATTGAGGAGGGAAAAAGTTTGAGGAAGAGAAGGAGAAGTTGATGAATCTAGGGGTCGTGCATATGTGAGAAGTGAAGAGAGACAACCATTTAGATTTTTAGAGGCACATCGAATAAATTTGTGATTTAATTTTTTTTATTCTTTTTTCATTTGTAATTTTTTTAAGAACAGAATAAATTAAAAAAAGTTGTAGAAGCTATAAAAATTTTCATATATCAATGTGTGGTCGGTCAATACTATATAAACAGGCCATGTGGCATTAGCTAACAATTATTTAATAAATATTCATTTTGAGTGTCTATTTAAAAAAAAATTATATGTATAGGAGATTAAACAGAATAAAAAAACATAAAAAAGATTAAATAGAAAAATTACAAAAGTACATGAACTTTTTAATTAAGTAAGCGATAAATTGAGTGATAAGAAAATGTATATAACTTTATTTTTTAAGTATAAGTTTATTGATTTTCAGTCTATTTGAATTTCCAAATTATATTAAAAATTATATGAGTCTCATATCTAATTTCAAAATAACATAACAGAGCAACTGAAGAAAGATGATGGTAACCTCAGTAAGTATTCAAATATGTGTAAAAGTCATTAACTATATATTTACTAAGTTTCTTCCACTATAATAAAAAAAAAAATATGAATTCCAATTAAATTATATAAAAATTGTATTATAATAGATATATATATATATGTGTCACCAAACATATATATTTACTTAAAAAAATATATATACATTCCCTCAACTTTTTTATAAGAAAAAACATTTCATATACATTTTGTATATGCATAAAAAGAGAAAAACAAAATCTTAATTAATTTTTTGCTAATCTCTATGAATAAGTACCTGCAAATTGACAGCTTCTATTCTTTCTTTTTTACACCATTTTCCCTTTTCCTCCACCAGATTCTGCTGCCTCTCTGTTCAAAATCATGAAAATCCATTCACTTCCTCACCTTTTTTACTCCGTCATCTATACATGTTTACCAAAGAGAATTTCACGTGCAAACAAATCTTCCCCTTCTCCAGTTCCAGCTTTGCTCCGGTCACAAGCCAATGTCCAGGACTGTCCTGCGGACCCCTACGCAGCTGCGACGTATCTACAAACTTCAACAACTTATTTGTCCGTACCGGCACCGGAGGTCCGGTAGGGAACACACTGGAATCCACCACGACTACTGCCTCTTGTTTCGCCTTAACAGGATTCCCCGAAATAGACATGCTAAATGCAGAGAATATCCCAGATTTCTGTGAGAACTCCGAAGCCCCTTCAGCCCAATTTGACTGCACAATGAAGGCGTTTGAGACTTTGGAGAATAAAAGCCGGAGATGGAGAACAGTCCTGGATTCGTGTTTCGTGACATGGAGTTGAGCTCCGGTTACAATGAAGACGACGTCATTTCGGTCACTCCAGCTTGGGTTGTACTTAACGCGAGCTGTACTGACGTGGGAAAACCTTTTACTCTGTATAGCTTCCAAGTATCGAACATCGGCCATGTCTTCCGATCCTCGCCAGAACTGTACGTCGTCGTCTATCTTGTTTCTGAGAATTGTTGGGAGATTTGATAAATGTTGAAGATGAATTGCTAATCTATTGCATTTCATGCCTTCAAGGTACAATCGCATCCCCGTGACGGGTAGATTTCTAGATGTAACCTTAGCGGTGTTAACAAAGAGTTTAGGACCCATCAAGTTTAATTGCAGAGCCGGTGATGAACCGGCACCGGCTCTGTTAGTGGCGGCGGCAAGAGGAAGATCGTTGTGGATTGGAGCCCAAATTTTGTGTGATTGGAAGTCGAGAAAATACTGTAAATCATGCAATGGAGGTTTATCTGCAAAATCCCATTAGAAGAATCAAGAAATTAATTACAGAAAAAGAGTAGATAAAAAAAAGTTTGTTGTTGAAGACATTAACAAGAGAGAAAGAGGAGTTACAGCGAAGATAAAGATTGATAGCGTGAGACAAGAAGCCTTTTCCAGGGCGTCGGTTGAGGAGAGAAGTGATAGGGATAAAGCTAAAATGGACGGCGTCCGGCATTGATGAAACTGTGGGAAGCCACTCGCAGTGGCTTCTGGCCATTAGATCTCCTCCCCTTTTGGAGCATATTACTGTTATTCCCTGCAATAATCCACCTACTAAAATTTTAATTTTATCAATTCCCAAATCCATTTTTACGTATTTAAAAACTATAATAATTACTTTCTCATTTTATAAGAATTTATATGAGTTCAAATTTGTAATTACCTAAAATTTTATAACGTTTGTAATGGGACTTACATCTTTTTTATTGACGGTAGAGAAGCTACTGAATGGAATATTTTGCGGGTCAAACACTTTAAAAGCTTCTGGCACCTGCATAAACATTAATTATAAATTTATGATTAATTAAGGATTAAGATTAAGAAAATTAATATTAAGAATATTTAGTTCAGTTAATGTGATGGTAATTTTCTGCAATAAAATTCGAGGGTTCAAGCTTTGAGAAAAAAAGAATAATTAACCTTGTTTCTGTGTTCTTTAGAGTTGGGTCTCAAGGTGCAGGCGCCGGTGAACAATTGATCACCAAGGTCATCAAGATGTTGTCTGAGCTGGGAGGGGCACAGGTTCGATGATTTCTCTTGCTTCACCAAAACGACGTCGTGTCCACCAACGCTCAGACCCACAATTACATGCGTCCCATATTTCTCTATGAATCTGTCAAATTTCGCTGACGTCAATATTACGATCACAACATGGTTACGACTTTGAGTTGAGTCATCTGCTAGAACATTTTTCTTTTAATTTTAAATTTAAATGAAGTAATAATTACGCCAAAAAAAAAAAACCGCGTGAGAAACCAGGAATTCTTGAGATTCTTCAATTTTATCCTTTTTTTTTTATTATTATTAATAGGTTGAAATGAAATGGAGGCGGAGAATTTTTCTTTTTTGACTTAAAAAAATAAAGCTTGTTACTGTGACTAAAAACCAGCTTCTTTGACTGAAAAAACAACACGTATACCATTGAAATGGAACAGATGTGCATTTTAATTTGCATGATCTAAAGTCAATATTTGACCTTACCCAATGATGGATTATAATTAATTAATTATGATTAAATAAGTAATTATATCTATCTTCTCTTTTTAAAAATCCAGCGAATTATAATAATTTTAACCCTAAAATATGGAAAATAACGAACATATTATTTTTAATGAATATTTGAGGTACATGCATGTATTTTAATATTATAGAAACAGATGAAATCCGAATTAAAACAGCTGATATTTTTGACCTAATTATATTTTCCAATTGGCCAAAAATTGGTATTAATGAGCAAAATGGTTGGCAGGAATTGGAAACCTACTGGTTACCTACTCTTTACGGTTGGTCTTAATTTAAAAATGTGAAAAGGATTAATCAATATAAAATAATAATAATATTACTATTAAATACAAAGTCAAACCCATTGTTTTCATCCTACATCAATTAGCTACGTTTTTTTTTATTTTTTGTAATTTTCCAAACAAACCAGAACCTTATCTATACATACATTAATTCTGTACATTTATATTTGTAAATTATACTATAATGCATGGAAAAATTATTAACATTTAGTAAAATTACTTTTAAAAATTATTTTAGAAAATTAAAAATGAAGAAGGAATTAAAGAGAGATGAAAGTTACCTTGCCAAAGCACGAGGATCCCAGGTAGAAGGAACTGCATCGACGACTTCATCCGACAGCACAAGCGGAAAACGATCGATATGAACATTAAACAGAGTGATGAAATATCCATCAAAACCTAGATACTTTATATTTCCCGCATCGCTCGCCCACGAACCTCCATCGAAGCCAAACATGGCATTGAACGATCCCGACGGTATTTTCCCTGGCACTGCCGCTTTTCGATTGAAAAGCTCCGACATCTGCCACAAAAAATATTTGTACCCACGAAAACATCATCCACAACTTCCATCAATGTAAAAAGAAGTAATAGATTTAGTAGAAAAATCAACAAGAAAATGAAAAGTTCTCATATTTACCACCAAAAATATTTTACCGACGGAACATCACTGACGATTTCAATCATTATAAACTCAGAGAGTTAAAAAAAAAAGGTACCTTATGGAACTCGAGTATATCGGATTGGTATCGAAGACGATCGCCTTTATCGCATTTGATATCGATGGGAACATCTTTGACGACACCAAAGGAGGGAACTACGATCTCTCGTTTCTCTGTTTCGTTAAGCAAAATCAATCTTTCTTGTCCTTTGCAATACTTGAGCCGAAAATCCGATGTCAAATCGAATCCTTTGCCTAGGCTGCTTACAGCCCTCTCCACTATTGATCCAACGTTGCTCATCTCAGCAAAGCTGATGAGATCTTTTCTCTTTAGCTCTTCTCTTCCTCTTTGAATATATATAAATATGATATTTTGCGTGTATATATATATTGGTAGCAAGTTAACCACGCAAAAGAATGATAGAGGTATAACGTTTTGGAGTTTAATAATAAGACCAAGTACGATTATTGGAGAAGATGTCAAGTCGGCATTATTTTTTGTTGGGTTCTCATTTTCATCGTATTATAATATATATATACACACACACACATATATATATGTGAAGTAGAGGACAAGTATGAAGAGAAGATAGGAAACGGAATAATGTAAACATGGGAAGTTTCCTCTGGTTTAAATTTTGGTTCTTGAGGTAATCTTTGACTCAGTCTCTATATATTGTCTTTTCTCTCGATCTCTCTCTCTCTCTTGATGTGCTCAATTAGACAACAGCCAGAATCATTTTATAAGTTGTGTTTGGGAAAGCATTCACACAAGTTGAAGTGAGTAGGTGACAAATTAAGATCTGAAATTGACCGACCAAACACTCCCTTAAGTTGCTTATGTCTTAGGGAGATAGACTGGAGGAAGCCCGAGGGAAGAGGGTTATTTTCTCCCACGGTTCCACGTCAATTAAGAAGCTTTAATGGAGAATTATGAGTTTTGCACCATACGTACAAAATAAATATCAATGCTTAGGAACTTCAGATTAAATATGTGGCTTATGTTAATTTCTTTTTTAATACGTTAAAAACATTATTAAATCATAAAATTTACTTGTTTCTATTTTTTAGAGACTTATTAAACATAATCTTTATAACCATTCAATTATTTTCATAAAATTTAAAGATTTTGTGATTTTCATATTGTCTTTAAAATAAATTCAAATAATTTGTTAAAGGGTTTTTTTTATTATAAATAAATTACATAATATATTATTTTAATTTGACATAAAATTACGTGTAAATTACAAATAAGTTAATTTCATAAAATTTATATGTTAATTTTATAAACTAATTAATTTTTATAAAATTATTAAGTACGAGTTATATTAGAATTAAAAATAACAATAAGGACTAGTATGGATTTTTTTGAGTCAATTATTTGTACTATAACAATTTGCACCTTTCAAAGGGAAAATTAAAAAAAAAAAAAAAACCAATGATATATATACCAAGAGGCTATCTTGATCTTGTAGATTTTATTTTGAACTTTAGAAAATAATTAAATGCATTGTTAAGTGTCTGATTTTTTTTTCCTTCAATTAAATTCCAAATTGTCATTATGAATAATTAATGTCAAATATAGTGTCACGTAGACGTCTTAAGTAACGTCATAATATTACATCAACATTAAATATTAACAACTAAAATAAATATACATATATATATAAAATCTAAATTTTAATTACCATGATAAAGGAACAAAATATATTTGAAAAAGTATGTCAAAAAAATGGTAATTCTTGTAAATTTCTTCTGTCTATCATACGATATTTATGTATATATATAGATAAAATTTAAATTACATGTTTGAAAATTAAAGTGCTTAATTGCTTAAAATTATTAAATAACATGTGAAAAGTTCATACACTTACGTTTAGGCTCACAAAAATTGTTAAGGTAAATTTGTTGTTTATGTTAATTTGTCATAATCAAGAGGTTTTGCATTAGCAAATCGTCAAATTAAATTATTTAATTAACAAATAATGATGTTTACTCCAATCCATTTG